GAGCTATAGTTATTTTAAAGTGTTTTTATAACGACTTGTGGCTTGTAACAGATATGAGTGATTCAAATCTCAATTTTGGAATTTTTTTGAGATGGATCAAGAATGAGATGTAGTTTATGTGTAGTCAGCAATTGAATGGGGATGAACAATAGATTTCCACTTTGGTTATCAATAATTGCCTATTAAAATAGTTAATGGACTTATTAAGCTTATTAAGCAACATTAAACACGTAAATATGGTAAATGGAGAAAAGAAGACACGTGTGTGTGTGTGTGTATATTGTGAAGACGATTTAGAAACAAATATACCAGTTACTTCTAACATTTTAGCATTGGTATTGTTTGTTAGAGATAGTTTCAAAGATAAACTGCTACTTGCGAAGCCTCAATATGGCATTTAGATGACTTCTAACCAATTCCATTATAAGATCAGATGGTTGTGAAGCTAGGTACTAATGTTTAGGTAAAAGCATTAAGTACTATTACAACATGCTGAAATTCTTCTACTTCTAGTAAAGTTCCTCTATGTATTCTTCAATATAAATGGCAATTGTCATGACCAACCAAAGTTGTCTGTAGAAGTCACAAGGTTTCTTTTGCCTTTTGTTTCTCTCATTTGACCGTTTTTATTAATATTACTTTTAGTTCTCCAGTTATATTTTCTTGTTATGGTATGTAATTGTGCTTCTTTCATTGCCTTATCTTTCACGCCCTTAGGCTTTGTGCCCTCCAATAGCTGGTTCTCATTAGTTGGAGCACACTTCTGATCGAACTTCTGTGCATGTTGTTTTTTTTTTTTTGCTGCTTTCTTTTTTCTTGCTCCATGCTATAAGCGTAGTTCTGTTTCTTCTTCATTCATGTCTGTCAGCAAAAGGAAGAAATCCCTGAAAGTAATTGCAGCTGTTAAGTAGCTCAACATTTCACAGTCTTACATTCATGTAAGAAGGAGTGTTTAGCTCATCTACATTTTCTAGAGGTGATGGCTTATATTCCTCTAGGTGCTGCATATTCACAATGATTTCCGAAATCTTCTTAAAGTCATCTTTCAACTCTAAAGCATTAGTCTTCGAAGGATTCCTTGCAAGCTTCAATTTCTTTTACCTCTTAAACACAACTATTTCCCATGTCACTAGTCTTCTATAAGCCTTTTGTGATGTGATTTCAAGGTATTGAGGAGGCATTTCTTTTTAATTTTGAAATTTAAATAGATTGAATGGTTAGTGTAAAATAATTGTCAGTTACTTTTAAAAGAGAGAGAAATCAATATACAAAACAAAATAATAAATAAATAGCTTTTCACAAGAGTTAAGATTAGTACATAAAATATGATTTTTGGCTCAGCAGCTATTGGAAGTGTATGTCCAATATTCGCATTATGCTTCAGATTTTTTTTTTTATTAACATGCAATATGAAAAAATTGAGGGAGCTATTTCTTAAATCCTTAAGGTTTTAGAGACTAATATATAGAAGCCAAAAAAAGGAAAAAGTAGGACAATGGAAATTTTCCTGAGATTATTTCTAAGATTGGCTATGATGATAGCACCACATTTCACAAGATTGCTAAATAAATTTAATCTAGGTTATGTATTTTGAAACCCAATTGCCTCCCTCATTGTTATTGAAACTGTACTTAAAGCAGTAAAATTAACATAAAGCTAATTAATACTTTTGTTTTAAAACTTAAATATAGGACTTAATTATGACTAGAGACTCCAACCTAATCTAACTTGTTTGAAGTACCACTTATGAATCAGCACAATAAATCTCCAATATGCTGGATGACTTTATTGGTGCACCTAAAACTTCTATGAGTTTGAACCTCTGGTGTAACTAATTGGACTATGTCTAGTCACATGTGCGTGATAGAAGATGAGTACTCTCGACTCATTGTATCTGGTCAAAGAAAAAGAATTCCCTTACAAGTCATGCAGTCTACAAGCTCTACTAATTTCAGGAGCACATGTTGCTGTTTTTTGTTTTAAAGCATGGATATACTGTTTAACTTTATGCATCGCAGAAGGCTTTATCAGCATAACCACCTGTAGTTAAAGACAGCTGCTTTGCTCACTTATGAGATTATTTTTCTGGTACTTGCAGTTACCATAACAATGCTTTTCTTGCCTGTCGTGCTCTTCATATTGCAAACAAGCTGAATGCATCATCAACATTCCCCTTACTGGAATTGTTCTTCAAATATCAGGTTCGAAACTTTTCACTGTACAACGATAATCATTTCTTTGGCTGGTATTCTGACTGTATTGTTAGAAGTTACCACTATAACAAGTGTTGCTCCAGTTTGAGAGGACATAAAGGTCTCCAAAAAGTATCAACCAGAGAATTAATCTAATAAGTAACTTCATTGAATAGCAAGTAAAGGGAAATCCAATACTGAGCTGTAGAGGTATTATCCATGTTGATTTACTACTCAAATATCCTAGTCTTGCTAGAATCCAATACAAATACACAAAGATAGCATGTAATCCTGTGCTACAAGATGAAACTATGGTGCCTATTTACAATACTGCTATACTACTGCTCCGTGTCCTCTCCTATTTGCATGAGGAAAATGTTTTTTTATTATTATCCATCAGTATATTATGTCCTAACTGAAATGAGAATGATGTATCTTTTTCCAATTGTCAGAAGAGTCATCTTCCAAGCATGGTACATTGACCACTTCTGCCTTTGAAGCCCTTTTTAGATGACTATTCCCTTCAAATCTGAAATGGACCAATGCAACTAAATGGAATGCAAATGAACCATAAAATATGCCTTCCTATTTGAAACTACAAAACCATCTACCTCACTCATGTCATGTAATATAGAGATTTGCAAGTGGCTTAAAGTAGTTTCAGCTTTAATCCTCCTTTACTGAATCAAGCTTACTGAACAGGAGAGGTATTATAATGGACCCACAAAAAGCATGTCAAGATCTGCTATAATTGATGACATGGCTAAGCTCGCCAATGGGGCTGTTGGAAACTTTTCTGAATTCCTCTTAGGTTTTGAAGATTGGAAGACTGATATGGCAGCAAGAACCTCCTTTAAGGCAAGCTATTTCACTCGTTGTCTTTTTAGTTTGCCCGATTGTTGTTCACATGTCGCCCTCCATGTTTTCTCCTCTGCAGTATGGGTGTACAAGAGGGGTCGCTGGCGCACCGTTCTTCTTTGTTAATGGATTTCTGTTGCCTGATGCTGGATCAGCCCTCGACTTAGAGACATGGATAAGCATCATCGGCCCACTGGTGAAGAATCAAAGGGAACAGGTGCAAGAAGCTCTTTCTTCTTACTAGAGTTTGGTAGAAGTCATCTAAAACTGTAATAGCAAACTAGATTTCACCATGGGATGACCCTCCCGTGTATGTCTACTGGTTTATGTACTGTGTTGGCATATTATGATGACCATTATCCCTAGGTGAATGACAGCTACCAATTGCACTTGCAGTGGCTGTGTCGATATGGTCCATCCATATAGCTCAGGTCAAGTCATCCAGGCTAAACCAGCTCAACTTGCACTAATCTAACCATATACACCAAATTTAATTTCTGCTCAACAAATTTTTGTGCATGTTAAGTTCATAAAAGTTCACTACTTCAATCTGACAAGGTATGTATAACAGATAATTGTTCAGCCTAAGGAGTTGAGGAGGATCGAGTTGGAAACAGATGAACCTTAAAGCTGATTACATGTGTGCAGAATTAAGTTCAGAAGAGGATGCAATATGGATCAACATGAAGAGGCCTCTCTCTCTCTCTCTATACTTTCTTATAAGAAATAGCTCATCTTTCTGATCAATGAAGAACAGGAACCATGTGGTAGATGAGACCTTTGCTCTTTTTTTATACTTTTATTTTATTAGCTGCTGAATTAGCTATGTACTGCTGATGGCATTTTCCACTGCTACACATATGATTAAATGAAACTGTGTACTCAAAAGTCAAGTAACTTATTATGTGATTCTCATGTCCTTTATTACTGATTCTTATTCTGAATCATGAGATGACCTGCATGTCCTCATCTTATTAGTCAACTAATTGTGGCCTCTGTACACCCAATTATAAATTATCCTCTGCTTAATGGTACTTCTCTGCTTGTTCGTTGACAAAGTTTATTAATTCATCTGTAAATTTATACTACTACTCTTTGCTTGTTCGTTGACAAAGTTCGTCAATTCTGGGAAGAACTCTAATAGGAAAGTTGATGGAATTCTATAAGTTTCAATGCTGAAATGTATGCCTTGTGTGATGTCGTTGAGCTTGCTCTTTTGTCATGGGATATATGCATCATGTCAACCACTCCCCTAACATGGATTAATCAACCCATTATCCATGTTTCTCAAAGTTGCATCATTTGAAATATTCCTCCTTGTGGTTGAATATATCAAGATGGTGAGTTGGTGGAGGTGCATAACATGCCATATGGTATGAGTATGATGCTTTTTATTATCTTTTAATATCATAGGTTATTAAATTTTAGCTCATCTGGCATGCAAACCAATCTAATACTCTCCATAAGAAGGTAATAATGTTTTATTTGTTCCATTGATTTCGAGACAAAATACAACCAAACTAATGTGCGAGTGACTATGATAATCTTATTATTATAATGATTTGGTCTTTAAGTTTTTTAAGTATATATATGGTAAATATATATTTAGAGGAATAAATATTAGGTTCACATATTGAGAGGTATATATATATATATATATATATATATACACACACACACACACACACACACACACACA